GACCCCAAAGCTCTGAAAGATCTGGGAAATTGGAGGCCTCTTACCACTGGATGGGTCTATTGTGCTACAGCTTTTCTCAAGAATACTAATGAAATGACTGACAAAAGCATGCCTATTAAATGCACACCAAAGAGGATTTATCGCTGCACCAGGCTGCTTGGAGAACCTCAAAATTCTCCATACCATAACAAAGCAAGCCAAAAAGCCACTAGGAGTCGTGTTTGTAGACATAGCCAAAACATTTGTCTCAGTATCCCACGACCACATCATGTGGGTACTACAGGAAAGGGGCCTGGATCAAAGAGGCCATTGTCAACATAATTCGTGACGCCTATAAGAACATCCATACCCGCATGGAAGTAGGGAAGGAGCTCAGCCCAATCATTTAAATAAAAATTGGCATAAAACAAGGAGACCCTGTGTCACCACTGCTATTCAATTTAGTGCTTGATTCTCTAATCTCAGCATTAGAGAAGGCTGGCCTGGGATTCTCATATGGGACACGAAAGATTACAACACTTGCCTTTGCAGATGATTTAGTCATGCTAAGTGACACTTGGGAAGGTCTGGATGCGAACATCGAAATACTAGGAGGCTGTCTGGTCTCGAAGTGCAAGCTAAGAAATGCTACGGATTCTTCTTGAGCCAAACTCATGACTCATTTACTGTCAATAACTGTGAAGCCTAGAAATTCAACAAGGATGGGCTGAATATGATCATACCAGGTGAGTCTAAGAAATACCTGGGACTTAAGGTTGACCCATGGATCGGGTTTTCCAAACTGGCATTATCAGAAAAGCTTGACACTTGGTTTGAAAGAATCAACAAAGCCCCATTAAAACCTTCCCCAAAATTGATTATGTTAAACACATTTACAGTACCAAGGATCATTTATCTAGCTGACCACACCGATTATAAAAAGACCTTACTATCTTCCTTGGATGACAACATCAGGAATGCTGTGAAGCAGTGGCTCCATCTACCAACAGACACCTGTAATAGCTTCATTTATGCCAGATGGTGGACAGGGCGTGATGAAACTCGCTCACTCGCTTCATCCCTTCTATTCAGGCAAGGCGGTTATACAGAATTGCATATTCAGAAGATAAAATAATTCAGTGCATTGCATTGGCAAGCAATATAGAGGAAGGTTTCAGAGTAGCAGCCGTGTTAGTCTGTATCCGCAAAAAGAACAGGAGTACTTGTGGCACCTTAGAGACTAACAAATTTATTAGAGCATAAGCTTTCGTGGACTACAGCCCACTTCCGAAGAAGAAGCTTCCACGAAAGCTTATGCTCTAATAAATTTATTAGTCTCTAAGGTGCCACAAGGACTCCTGTTCTTTTAATATAGAGGAAGAATTTCAAAATCCCTGGGTGGCTGCTGGTGAGGAATGAGGAAGAGATACCTATGATAACAGACCCAGTCTTTGTCGACAACAGACTACCACACCGTGTCTTGGAACTTCTCAATGAGTGGGAGAAACTGGCTCCTAAAAAAATATACCCAATCCCATGTAACTGGAGAGATGCAGAATTGTCCCAGTGAAAAAATCTACAATGCCAAGGCAGTGGAGTTGAATGCTTTTATAACGATTCAATTAGCAAAGATTGGTTGAAATTTCATTGTGGGTTCTAAGAACATCAATTTCTGACAGTCCTCAAACTCAGATCAAAGATGTATCCCACCAGAGAATACCTAGGACATGGCAAGAATAATCAAACTGTGAATTGCAGGCACTGCCCTGCCTCTTACGAATTGTTAGCTCACATTCTAGGACAATGTCCAGCAGTCCGAGGTGCCCACATATGAAGAATAACAAACTGTGATACATTGAAGCGGGAAGCCCATGAATTGAAATGGGTGATTTATGAAGAACCTCACTTATACACTGCTGAGAATGAGCTAAGGAAACCAGACCTCATCCTTGTTAAAGATGGAACAGCCCTGGTGGTAGATGTCACAGTTTCGTTTGAATATAAGGAAAAAGTCTTCAACGATGCCGCAGTGGAGAAAGTAAGGCATTATAAAACTTTGACAAATCAGATTAAAGAATTGACTGGGGCCAATGAAGTCAAATACTTTGGCTTCCCTCTAGGAGCAAGAGGGAAATGGCTGAAGGTCAATGAGAAAGTCCTTTCAGCCCTGGGCATGCCAGAATACCAACAAGGAAGAACTGCCAGGCTTTTTAGTCGAAGGGCTCTATTGTATTCCTTAGATGTTATTAATACCTTTGTTAGCATGGGAAAGAATAAATAAAACCACTGTTCCATGAGGTTCTGTCCCTCATGTGCAGACTTTCCTTTCTCTTGACCTATCTCTTATTCAAACTATATACCTCCCACCTTCCATGGGAATCTTGTAATTATAATAATAATTCATGATCACTCATGCTGGTCACAACACCTGTCAGGCTCACAAGGCGTGAGTGGCCAGTCCTTGATGGTCAGTCTAGGTTGGGGTAGAAAAAGGCTGGAAATTTTTCTAATTCCCCATTCTGCCACCAGGTCAACCCCAAGCTAGCACATAGAACTACGATACTACCAGCAATCAGGTCAACCTATCACAGATGTCCACAGGAGGGCAGAACCCAGGCAGGCCTGGCCTGGCGTGAGTGGCCACGGCTGATTCTGGGATGGTACCTGCTCCTGGCGGTGAGGCAGAGTTGGGCCAAGCGACACCTGGCAAGTCCACCCCAGGGCTGGGAGTGCCTCCTGCAGTTTTGGGGGCTGTGGGTACCCCGTGGAAGAGGCTGCACACCTGCTATCCAGGCCGGCCAGGCCAGGCCTCACCTGGGGGGCTGCTGGAGGATTTGGTGTGGTTCTGCGGGCCGGCAGATGGGCGCAGGGGATCCTAGCGATTACGGGTGTGTCTACAGCAGGGCCAGAGGTGCTTCCTGAAACCTTGGGGCTGTGGGTCCCCGGTGGAGGAAGCCTGGGGGAGCTGGACACCCACTGCCCAGCCTGCTAGGCCAGGCCTTGCCTTCTGGAGAATTTGGGGTGGTTCTGCAGGCCAGCTTCTGGGTGCAGGGGGGTCAGAGCAACTGATACTGTTGGATACTGATCAGATCCAGCAGCCCTGCAGTGCTCCAAGCAGGATAGCATTTGCTGTGTGGAGCCCCAATGGTCAGCTGGGAGGATGTGATGCGAGCACTCCAGGCCGAGCAAACATGAAGGGGAATTTCAAAAATTCCTGGGCCTTTAAAGTGGGAGGGATGCAAGGTGTTTACCTGGCTGCAGGGCAGCAGAGTTGAAACTGCTGACCAGAGGGGTCAGGATAGGCATTGTGAGATGCCTTCCAGAGGCCAAGCACAGCACTAAAATCAAGCACAGCATCTACACTAGCACTTTGGTGACAACTGTTTTTGCATAAAAACCTTAACAACTCTCATCGAAGTGGTTTTATTATGTCACTGGAACTGAGAAGTTCCATCGCCGAAAGTGGCTTTGCAGTGTGTACACCTCTGTAGGCAAGGCCTTAGGTGCAGCATGAAAGAATGAGGTTTGTTTTCTGGCCAACAGAAATCTGAGTTTTATTGCCTTAAAATATTCAGTCCCAAGCCGTGTGCAGTGGGGAAATTGGTGAGGGTTTCTTTGGTTTTGTTTTTCTCATTTTAAACGTCCTTGATCATTTTGATGGGGAAAACATTTGTACAAAGCCAAGAAAAAGTAAGAACAATAAAAAAATTGCACAGGAGTGAATGGGTTTCCGAGTGCCAGGGCAGGGGCAGAGATTTACATGAAGGGGGTTTAGGGGATAAATGAGAGGCTTTTGCTGCAGCACAGAGAGAGGTTTTGCAATTTCATTTTTCCCAAGTGACAAGTCCCCCATATTGCCCCCTTTCTGCTGCTTCCCAGCTCAGATCCCACTGTCACCCCTAGCTGTCACGCCTCCCACTGACAAACACCCCTGTACATCAGAGACAAACTCTCTTAATCTGCCCCTTCTCCCAGCTAAACCCTCCCCGTGCAGAGCCCAGAACAACTCCCACCTAGTTGGATCTCCTGGAAACCACATCAGGCCAAGGAGCTCCCTGGGCTGTTTTCCTAGATGCCTGTGCATGGGAAGCAGCAAATTCCTACCACATTAGTATCAGGATATGCCCACTTGTCACAGGGGACTGGGGCATGATTCCCTGATGGGAAAGCTGTGATTTTGATACTAAGGGTATGTATATATTGCAATTGAAATGTGTGGCTGGCCCAGGCCATCTGACTTGGGGTTGCAGGGCTTGTCTGGAATGGTGGCTGAACATCCAAAATATTTAAATAAATATTTAATTTATTATATTTAAATAAATATTCCATTGTTTAACAGCGGAATTAAAAATGCTATTAGTCATGATTTTTTTTATTTCACGATTAAGTACGATTCATTTTATTTCATTGCTAAACAGCCCTAGTTTTTATATCAGGCTAGTGAACTCAAGCTAGCTAACGCCAGGGAAAATCCTAGTGGAGTCCAGGTACAGGTAAATTTAACCTCCATGTACCTAGTTGAAGTCACTCCTGGTTCCCCCACCTGGGGCTGATGGACATTCCCCATTCCCCTCTATTCAACATTGGTGAGGCCTCATCTGGAGTACTGTGTCCAGTTTTGGACCCCACACTACAAGAACAATGTGGAAAAATTAGAGAGAGTCCAGCGGAGGGCAACAAAAATGATTAGGAGGCTGGAGCACATGACTTATGAGGAGAGGCTGAGGGAACTGGGATTGTTTAGTCTGCAGAAGAGAAGAATGAGGGGGGATTTGATAGCTGCTTTCAACTACCTGAAAGGGGGTTCCAAAGAGGATGGATCTAGACTGTTCTCAGTGGTGGCAGATGACAGAACAAGGAGTAATGGTCTCAAGTTGCAGTGGGGAAGGTCTAGGTTGGATATTAGGAAAATCTTTTTCACTAGGAGGGTGGTGAAGCACTGGAACGGGTTACCTAAGTAGGTGGTGGAATCTCCTTCCTTGGAGGTTTTTAAGGTCAGGCTTGAAAAAGCCCTGGCTGGGATGATTTAGTGGGAATTGGTCCTGCTTTGAGCAGGGGATTGGACTAGATGACCTCCTGAGGTTCCTTCCAACACTGATATTCTATGATTCCTGTTGGAGGGACACACACCTCCATGACATAGCACAAAGGAGCTGATGAAAAACAGTGTGGGACTCATCTCAAGGAAAGGTGAGCTGCAAAAGTGAAAAGCAGACAACTCAGGTGAGGGAGTCAAGAGACCACGGTGACACAAATGCTGCCTTAAAGATCAGTATGTGGGAATTAGCAAAAGAAAACAAAATCTAGACAAGGTTTTTATGGTCTTTAACTCCCTTGCAGCTTCTCTGATGAACAATAAGGGCTGAGCTCTGACTGAAGAATTTCCCACACTCAGAGCATTCACAGGGTTTCGCCCTTGTGTGGATCCTCTGATGTTGATTAAGGTTTGAGCGCTCAGTGAAGGTTTTGCCGCACTTACAGCATTCATGGGGTCTCTCCCTTGTGTGGATCCTCTGATGTCGAATAAGGTGTGAGCCCCGAGTGAAAGTTTTCCCACACTGGCAGCATTCATAGGGCCGATCCCCTTTGTGGATTCTCTGATGTCTAATAAGGGTTGAGCGCCGAGTAAAGGTTTTCCCACACTCGCAACATTCATAGGGTTTTTCCTCTGTGTGGATCTTCTGATGTTGAATAAGGTTTGAGCGCTCAGTGAAGGTTTTCCCGCACTCACAGCATTCATGGGGTCTCTCCCCTGTGTGGATCCTCTGATGTCTAAGAAGGTTTGAGCGCCCAGTGAAGGTTTTCCCACACTTACAGCATCCATAGGGTTTCTCCCCTGTGTGGATCCTCTGATGTCTAATAAGGTGTGAGCCCCGAGTGAAAGTTTTCCCACACTGGCAGCATTCATAGGGTCGCTCCCCTGTGTGGATTCTCTGATGTCTAATAAGGTGTGAGCGCCTACTGAACTTTTTTCCACCCTCAATACACATGTTGTTTCTCTCTCCCATGGGGATTCTCTGCTGGGCCGTGGTTTCCTTGAGATGTCTGTGAGTTCCCCGATAATAAACAGATTGACCAACTTTCTGCATTGGCTGGTTTTCCTGCCACCTCTCTGGAATGTGCTGACTTTCACAGGCTTTTCCCTGATCACAACTCCTGGACACACTCCCTTTGCATCTTTGCAATAATTTGCCACGTGGTTCCACTTCCTCATCATCTTCCTGTTGAGAATTCTGCTCCACGGTCTCACTCACCAGCCCAGCACCTGCTGGGACACAAAGAAAAAACATCAGAAACAGGAATGGAAAAGAGGAGAACAAACTGGAAGAACACCTGGAGATGGGACTGAATTTCCCCAAACTCTTCCCCAAAGGGGAGAGAGGAAGGGATGAATTCTTCAGCCAGTTCCCACCCAAATACTCAGGGAGAAGGGAGTGCAGGGAGGGAGCCACTGCAGGGATTTCGTCAGGATGGATAGGAAGTAGGGCTGTCAATTCACTGCAATTAAGTCAAGTGATTAACACAAAACAAAGTAACTAGATTGAAAAAAAGAGTCATGATTAATGGCAGTTTTAATCCCAGAGTTAAACAATAATAGAATATCAACTGAAATGTATTATAAATATTTTTGGATATTTTTCTACATTTTCAAATATATTGATTTCAATTACAATACAGAATACAAATAAAGATAAAAAGAAATAGTATTTTTCAATTCACCTCATACAAGTACTGTAGTACAAGCTCTTTATCATACAAGTGCACCTTACAAATGTAGAATTGTGTGTGTTTATTTTACCTAACTGCACTCAAAACCAAAATAACATAAAACCTTAGAACCTATAAATCCACTCAGTCCTACTTCTTCTTCAGCCAACCCCTAAGGTAAACAAGTTTGTTCACATATATAGGAAATAATGTTGCCCACTTCTTATTTACAATGTCACCTGAAAGTGAGAATAGGCATTCACAGGCAGTGTTGTAACTGGCGTTGCAAGGTGTGAGAGGTTGTCACCCCCAGGGTGCAGTCTGGTAGCTGTGGGAATCACTTTGTCCTGTAACCATTAAGCTGGACTGGCCTCTCTCACACTGCTCTGCTGGTGATTCAGCCAGCCTCTCCAGGCCCGGTTATCACCCAACATGACAGCAGGTGGCGCCACACACTCAACTGAGCTACCTGAGTATTTTACCTAAGCCACTCAAGGACAGACAGAAGACACAGCCCATTTCCCAGCTCCCCAGCCTTGCACCCTTGCTGGAGTACAAACGCAGTATTATACTGTCTTGCACTGCACAGGGAGCAGTACAATGCAAGATCATCAATATCGGTCACTTTCCCTGCGATGTGGGAAAGATATGCAACAGCCTTTGTTTACAGAGCTGAGATTTTTCCAGACACTTCACTTAAAACACACTGGGTAAGGTAAGACATAAAACAAGTTTATTTACTACAGAAAGATAGATTTTAAGTGACTAAACAGATCAAAGCAGATTGAACAAAAACGCAAACTAAGCCTAATGTACCAGATAGGGTGAGAAATTGCTAATCTGCATGCTGACTGATGACACAAGCAGGTTTACAGATTCTTAAGGCACAGACTGCAATTGCTGGGCAGCCCGGGTTTCAGGTGTTGAGTTGTGGGGGAGTGAAGACCAGTCATGATGTCACTCCCTACCTTATATAGTCACTTCATATGGCGGGAACTCTTTGTTTCAAGCTAAATTCCCAGCCCCGTTTGTGGAAAAATACAGGTACCAAAAAAAGTTCAAGTGTCATGTGGTCTGGTCACATGACCTAACATGCCTTGCTGAGCCATAGCAACCATTACTCATAGCCTTCATGTGAATGTTTCAGCCAGCCTAAGCTCTTCCATGGTCCATTGTCTTTGCTGATGGGCCATCAGCACTGTCTGGCTTCTTCATTGTTGTACCTGAAAGGCTCGTTGTGGATGTTACCCAGAGTAAGCACATTTGAAATACAGATACATAGTCAATATTCATAATTCCAGAGACAAAATTGGTACATGCATACAAATAGGATATTCATATTCAGAAAATTCATAGACACTTCACAAAACACATCTTGTACCAGAGGCATCAGAATTATGTCACAATCACATCATAATTATACCACTATGATGAATATGGCGTGCAGTGTCACACAAGCTATTTACGTGCCAGAGATGCAAAATATTCGTATGCCCCTTCAGGTTTTGACTTTTTGTCATTTTTACTGTGCAAATATTTGTAATAAAAGATAATATTAAGTGAGCAACTGTACACCTTGAATTCTGTTATCACCGAAATCAAAATGTAGGAAGATGTAGAAAAACATCCAACATATTTATAGTAAATTCAAACTGGCATTTTATTACTGATTAACAGTGTAATTAAAACTGAATTAATCACAACTTTTTTTTAACTCCATGATTAATTGCAATTATTTTTTTAATCAGTTGAAAGCCCAAGTAGGAAGCCATGAGCAATATCTGCCCTGAGGATAGGACACCTGCTGGGGACAATCCTGAATCCAGAGAACTCATAAGGTCTTTGTTGGGAATCCCAGCAGATTCCTTCAGGCACTAACAGTTTAACGACTCCTCACCTGTGCAGATGTCTCTCAGGATCTCTCTTTCCTCTGAGCCCTGGAGATCTGGGGACAACAGCTCTTCCCCTGGTTCCAGCTGGAAGATGAGATCAGGTTTGGAAACTGGAAACCCTGCCCAGGGGAAAGAAGACAAGTGAGATAAGATGAATTCATGGGACATTTGTCACACACACAAAAACTTCTGTTATTTCAACCCCAGCCCATTTTAAATCAGTAAAATCTTGGGGCCAGCTCCCCAGATGCTCAAAGGTGCAGGACACTCTTCTAATGAGGGATGTAACTGATCCCATATCTACTGGGAACATACAGCCAGACATTCACGATCAAAGGGACTCCTAAACCCCAGAGCAGCTAACTCCATGTCCCAGAAAGGGAAGACTCTAGACAGAGGGGAAGACCCTGGACCTGCTTCTTACTGACAGAGGCCCACAGACAGTGCAGGGGGGGGAGAGGCACGAGGCCTTACAGCTGAGAGAGGGGCACTCAGAGAGACGAGGAAGGGCAGAGAGAGGCAGCTTGCCCTGCCAATCACTATGACCCCCACACCCCTTCCTCCAGCCGCTCTCACCCTTCCACACCTCTTGGGACCCGAGGAGAAACCACTACTTGTGTTCTCTCCTCCCCTCTCACTGCCCATTGCACTCCTTGCTACCAGTTCCCCCAAATTTCCTGCTCCCCAACCACTTCTACCCCATCAGCCCAATGTCTCAATTGCTCCTTGGTCCTGATTCCCAAGAACTCCTGCCAGAAATGTGTCCCTTTGCTCCCTCCCATTGCTAGCATCCCTATTTCCTGGGGCACCCGCTACCCAGCACCCATGCTCCCTTTTCTCTAACCAGCACCAACCCATCCAGATCCTTGAGTTCCAGTTCTTCCAGCCCTCCACAGCATCCTAACTCCATATAGCAGCTGTTCCATGGCATCCCAGCCCCTTACCACTGCTCTCAGCCCTCCAAGCTCACAGGAGTGCTTTGCCCCAAACCTTCCCATGCCTAGCTTTCTAACACCCTCCCTCCCATTGCCCAGAGCCTCCCCATTGTTATTTCTATTACTGTAGCACCTAGTAGCGCTAGTCATGGACCAGGATCCCATTCTGATGGACATTCTACAAACACAGAACAAAAACTGTCTCTGCCCCAAAGATCTGACAATCTAGGAATAAAACAAGGGACAGATGGATACACACAGACACGGGTGTGACATGGATGGCAATTTCCTGCAATATCCTGGACCATCCTTTCCAAATTAAGTCAAACCTTACTGAATACATTTCAGTATCTTAGGAGTTCATTGCATTAAAAATATGTGTGCGCACTTATTACTGTGGGATGGTCTGTAACATCTCCGGGCAGAAGACCTGGCTAACATAAACCCTAGGAAGTATTATGAGCTTCAAAGGACCCTTTGAAATAATGTCCTAGGGTATGTCTACACTACGAAATTAGGTCAAATTTATAGAAGCCGGTTTTATAGAAATCGGTTTTATACAGTCGATTGTGTGTGTCCCCATATAAAATGCTCTAAGTGCATTAAGTCGGCAGACCGCGTCCACAGTACCAAGGCTAGTGTCGACTTCCGGAGCGTTGCACTGTGGGTAGCTATCCCACAGTTCCCGCAGTCTCTGCCGCCCATTGGGTACATGTCATCAGGCCCCTCTCCCTCCATCAGAGCAACGTCAGACAATCGATTCACGCCTTTTTACCTGGGTTACCTGTGCAGACAACATACCACGGCAAGCATGGAGCCTGCTCAGCTCAGCTCAGCTCACCATCTCCATATGTCCTCTGGGTGCCGGCAGACGTGGTACTGCATTGCTACACAGCAGCAGCTAATTGCCTTTTGGCAGTAGACGGTGCAGTATGACTGGTAGCTGTCATTGGCTATCTGGGTGCTGGCAGACGTGGGGCTGCATTGCTACACAGCTCCTTGCCTTTTGGCAGTAGATGGTGTATTACGATTGATATCCGTCACTGTCATATTCCTCAGTGAGTTCAATCAGAGGCACCTGGGCAGACATGTTTTGGCTCCTGGAGACTCAGTCCTGCCGGCAGTCCTATTGAACCGTCTTGACAATGATGGCTAGCAGTCATAGTACAGCATCTTCTGCCAAGCACCCAGAAGATGCCGATGGCTATCAGTCATGCTGCACTGTCTGCTGTCAGCTTAAGAGGTAAAAAATAGATGGACCAGATTTGTTCTGTATTCATTTGCTTCCCCCTCCCTCCGTGAAATCAACGGCCTGCTAAACCCAGGGTTTTGAGTTCAATCTCTGGGGGGGCCATTCTGTGTGACAGTTGTTTGTGTTTCTCCCTGATGCACAGCCACCTTTGTTGATTTTAATTCCCTGTACCTGTAAGCCATGTCGTCACTCGCCCCTCTCTCCCTCCCTCCCTCCCTCCCTCCGTCAGACAATAGTTTCGCGCCTTTTTTCAGCCCAGATGCCATTGCACTGGGATCATGGAGCCCACTCAGATCACCGCGGCAATTATGAGCACTATGAACACCACGCACATTGTCCTGGAGTATATGCAGAGCCAGGACATGCCAAAGCAAAACCAGGTGAGGAGGCGATTGCAGCGTGGCGACGAGAGTGATGAGGAAATTGACATGGACATAGACCTCTCACAAAGTACAGACCCCAGCAAAGTGCAAATTATGGTGTTACTGGGGCAGGTTCATGCCATGGAACGCTGATTCTGGGCCCAGGAAACAAGCACAGACTGGTGGGACCGCATCGTGTTGCAGGTGTGGGACGATTCCCAGTGGCTGCAAAACTTTCGCAAGCATAAGGGCACTTTCATGGAACTTTGTGACTTGCTTTTCTCTGCCCTGAAGTGCCAGAATACCAAGATGAGAGCAGTCCTCACAGTTGAGAAGCGAGTGGCGATAGCCCTGTGGAAGTTTGCAACGCCAGACAGCTACCGGTCAGTCGGGAATCAATTTGGAGTGGGCAAATCTACTGTGCGGGCTGCTGTGATCCAAGTAGCCAACGCAATCAAAGACCTGCTGATATAAAGGGTAGTGACTCTGGGAAACGTGCAGGTCATAGTGGATGGCTTTGCTGCAATGGGATTCCCAAACTTTGGTGGGGCGATAGACGGAACCCATATCCCTATCTTGTCACCGGAGCACCAAGCCACCAAGTACATAAACCGCAAGGGGTACTTTTCAATGCTGCTGCAAGCCCTGGTGGATCACAAGGGACGTTTCACTAACATCAACGTGGGATGGCCGGGGAAGGTACATGATGCTCGCGTCTTCAGGCACTCTGGTCTGTTTCGAAAGCTGGAGGAAGGGACTTTCTTCCCGGACCAGAAAATAACCGTTGGGGATGTTGAAATGCCTATAGTTATCCTTGGGGACCCAGCCTACCCCTTAATGCCATGGCAGCCTGGACAGTAGTCAGGACCTGTTCAACTACAGGCTGAGCAAGTGCCGAATGGTGGTAGAATGTGCTTTTGGACGTTTAAAAGCCCACTGGCACAGTTTATTGACTTGGATAGAGCTCAGCAAAGCCAATATCCCCATTGTTATTGCTGCTTGCTGTGCGCTCCACAATATCTGTGAGAGTAAGGGGGAGACATTTATGGCGGGGTGGGAGGTTGAGGCAAATCGCCTGGCCGCTGATTATGCGCAGCCAGACACCAGGGCGGTTAGAAGAGTACAGCAGGGTGCGGTGCGCATCAGAGAAGCTTTGAAAACGAGTTTTGTGACTGGCCAGGCTACGGTGTGAAACTTCTGTTTGTTTCTCCTTGATGAACCCTCTGCCCCCTCCCCCCCCCCGGTTCACTCTACTTCCCTGTAAACTAACCACCCTCCCCTCCCCCCTTCGAGCACCGCTTGCAGAGGGAATAAAGTCATTGTTACTTCACATTCATGGATTCTTTATTAATTTATCACACATCTAGGGGGATAATTGCCAAGGTAGCCCGGGAGGGTTGGGGGAGGAGGGAAGGAAAAGGACACACTGCAGTTTCAAACTTTAAAACTTTAACACTTATTGAAGGCCAGCCTTCTGATGCTCGGGAAATTATCTGGGGTGGAGTGACTGGGTGGCCAGAGGCTCCCCCCACTGCGTTCTTGGGCGTCTGGGTGAGGAGGCTATGGAACTTGGGGAGGAGGGCTGTTGGTTACACAGGGGCTGTAGCGGCGGTCTCTGCTCCTGCTGCCTTTCCTGCAGCTCAACCATATGCTGGAGCATATCAGTTTGATGCTCCAGCAGCCAGAGCGTCGACTCTTGCCTTCTGTCTGCAAGCTGATGCCACCTATCATCTTCAACCCGCCACTTGCTCTGTTCATCCCGCGATTCATCGCACCACTTCTCCTCTCGTTCATATTGTGCTTTTTTGCACTCTGACATTGACTGCCTCCACACATTCTGCTGTGCTCTGTCAGCGTGGGAGGACATCTGGAGCTCTGAGAACATATAATCCCGAGTCCA